TAAAAATTCATAACAACGACTGTCAATTTTAAAAGATTTCTTCAGAAATCATGATGAGTTTCTAGAACTCTTCAATGAAAAGGTCAATATCATATTAATAGAAATATCAGAAGCGCTATTGCAGTTAGGGTCCTTATCATAGTCTTACGTGCAGCTGGAAAACTACTCGATAACGCTCTAGACGAAATGTTTAACCACATTTGATGTTTACGTTACAAAATTGTTTAGATAAATATACAAAAAAATTGTTCGCGCATTTTTCTCGACATGCAAATTTTTATTTTTTTGTATAAACTTTTGAACAAATTTCTTTTCGATAATGGACGCTCTAGTGAATTGCGGTTGTTTTTTATTCGATAGATGGATACATTTACTTTCAATTGAGGAAAAGGAATTTTGTATTTCGCTCTCAATATCAAAGCAATGAGAAGTTTTCTAGAAAATATTACTTAAGATTTTTGGAGTTTTAAGATTTGGAGGATCCAAAAATGAAATAAAATAAACATTAAAAAAAAAACCCTTTCCCTCATTCGAAACAGTAAGAAGTTCTCTTTAAAATGAAAGTAGCCCGAGCGCTGTAGCTTGAAGTGTATCGAAAAATCATTTGTACAGATGAAAATCCTGTTTTACACTATGGTTCCTGAAAACCTTCTGAATGGTAAGATTTGAAGCCGTGGAAATTTTTCAATAGTATACTTTCATTAGTCGAACATCTTCAGAAAGTTTCATGAAAACCTCATGCGTTGTATCGAAAATCGATTTTGAAGGGAAGGAGTCAGAGACCATAAATTTTTTTATATACGCTGATTGTCTTATTTCTTTTTTTTTAATATTTAAAAGATACATCTAGTGGCACAAAAATACGTAGGTTATCGAAGCATTGATTTATTTATATATATTTTGTTTTGTTTTTTCTTATTTATTTATTAAGGACGTGAAATGTCAAAACCACGTTCTGACAGTATTACTACGTATGTTATTTTATTAAATAATCTAATAACATAATTTCTATTATTAATTATAGATATCAATGTCCACCTATTCAACATGCAATAAAACCATTTTGTTTTGATACAACTGGAATGTTTTATTGGTGTCCAACACAAACTTTTGAACAACAAGCAATTGTATGAAAATTAATTAAATATAGATAGTTTTAATATACAAAAAAAGATTTTAAAAAAATTTCTTCTAGGATGTTCGAACTAAATGTGAATTAGCACATCATGTTATTTGTTGTATATTTGCTGAAGAATCATCACCTGTTATTGGTTTACGTAGTTTTGTTATGCCATTACGTGCATCAAATTTTGATGAAAATGAACTTAAACCAATTGTATTTATTGGTAATGGTATTTTTTTAAGAAAAGAATGGAGACATATATGTAATTTTCCAAAAGTTTATGTTGTTGATGTATGTTTATATTTTTATTTTTGTATTTTTGATATATATTATTATTATTATTATTATTATTCTCAAGGGTTCACCAAATGATCGTGCCACATTACGTGCTATAAATATACATTTATGTGATATGTGTGTTATATTATCATCAGCATCCCAACATGATCAACGACAAGATCGATATTTAACTGATAAAGCAGCAATACTTTGTTCATTAAATATAAAAGCAATGAGTTTTGATACTGAATGTACAACAACAGATAGACGTTATGGAACATCAATTCCACTTATAACAGAACTTAGTTCGTATATTTTCATTGACTAAAAATAAAAATAAATATTTGATTTTGTTTTTAATTTAAGAAAATGATACAAATGTTGTTTTTCTTGATCAAGATGATGATGATGATCCAAATATTGATCTTTATATGACACAACCATTTGCATGTGGAACATCATTTGCTATTAGTGTTCTAGATTCACTAATGAGTGCAACTTATTTTAATGAAAATGCTTTAACTATTCTTCGAGGTATAATTATTCTAATGAGTTAGATTATTATAATTTTGTTTTTTATTTTATAGCATTAATAACTGGTGGTGCAACACCAGAATTAGAAAAAATCTTAGCTGAAGGTGCAGGTATGACACAAGGTTCTAATTCAAAAGAAGTATTAAATAATCGACGGCGACCACGTGTTGTTCTATTACCTGTTGAAAATCTTATTATTGACGAAACAAATAATACACAACAACATTCTTCTGTTATGATGAATGCATTTTGGGATGCTGTTAGTAGTGTTTAATTTTCTTTTTGTTATTCTTATTAATTAATTAAAAGAAGAAAAAAAAATTTTTTTATTTATTTTTTTATTTAGAATCCCACATATGGAGATTTATTTGTTAGTTTATTAATGCATCGAGATTGGCTTTGTCTCGGTCTTTATCGTCTTCATAATAATCCTTCTCTTCGTCCGATATCACAATCAAATAAACGTGTTGTTATTTGTAGCCCACCACGAACATTTCCTTTACTTAAATCTGATCTAGTAAAAATAATATAAAATGAAATGAATTATTATTTAATTCATTTGTTTTTTCTTTTTGATTTCATAGGTTTACGTGATACAACAATTTCAACCAAAATATGATCCTCCTTTGAATATAGAACCAGAACCAATTAAAACTATTGATGATAATAAACAATCAAATATTGTACCTGAACCACTTAATACAGTTATGCAAATGCCATATACTATAATTACAAAAGTGACTCCGATCACAGATGACATTAATATAAATGATGATAATAAAATATAATTTTTTGTGTTTTCTTTTTTTTTTTTCTTTTTGTTTTATTAAATAAAAACTAAACATTTGTTTTTGCTAAAAACAACAAAATGATATATATTTTGTTTTCACATATACGATTATTGAAAAAGAAAAATAAAGGTGGTTAATGGTACGTTACGGGAAAAGTATAGGTGTCATCATGATTGAATTAATGAGTGAGAACCGCCTTGTTTTTATTTTTCTTTTCTTTTTCTTTTACTCTCATTTATTCTCGTGTATAAAGATGCTGGTCGTGGACGATCAAACAAGCACAGTAGAAAGCAATCAAGCACAACCACCATTGACTTTCGCTTTCATATTTAAGTGTCTAATCAAGACTGATGATGATCATGAAATGAGTTTTCATGTGTATTGCATAGCAAAATTCGACACGATTTCCGGCACACGCTATGTATGCTTCGACTATCTTCAGTCCAATTTCCGACGCACGCTCTTTTTTCTATTTTTGACATTTCTTTTTTTTTTGCAGGTGAATATAATCGCAGTCATTTTATTCGATATCCTACATTTGACAGTTATTCTATTCGTATGTATATATTCTCGTGATAACAAATATGCACAAATTAAAATAGCGATACTTGTTTCGTAGCATAGGGTTTTTTTTTTCTTTTTTTATATCAATGACAGACTCAACAACGAAAAATCATTATCGGGTGTCTTTCGTCTTTCTTTTTTTCTTCAACATAACAAAGAAAAGAGTAACAGTAGTGGTCAACAGAGTGAAACGACGTTTGAAGAAACATATGCGGCTGGTGCTGATTGTTGCGCCAGTGAACCGACACGAAGAGCAATATTTCACTTCACACACTCATACTTATAAAGAGGAGAGAGAGAGAGACAGAGAAAAAAAAACTATTAAAGAGAACGAAGTAAAATCTCGACCGAATGGACATCTGGTGCGATAGGGTAATCATAAACCATAGATAACATAAACTCTGATTGGTTCTTATTTAAAGTAGATATTGTATTGTATATGAATTATAAAATTGAAATAATACAATTAAAAAGGGTTCTGGTTTAGTAACAGATTTTCAGAACAATCATCTTTTGTTGCCGAAAATTCTTTTCAATTTTTCACAATAGATAATATCAACAGTAAACTAATGCTACTTTAAATTGACTGTTTGTTGACGTGACGTAACCAGAATATTGTGGGTAATAGGGCAACATCCCACGATCTCAAGGGAAGTTTATGAAATATAACATCAATGATTTTTTTTCTTCTGACGGTAGAACAGCACCTGGCTTAGACTATCCTTGGTTATGTCACGAATGTCCGCACCAAAATCAAAGAGAAATAGATGTAAGCTCCATAGCTCGACAACAACAACAACAGCTATCGACTTATAGTTTTCAACAATCAAAAGATCAGAACTCCGAATATCTTTCTGTCTGATATAAAAGAAGACACACTTATTTTTAAATCCATCATCTTCACTAAACATTCAAAAAAAATTCATAAAAATGGTGTTCTGTTTCAAGAAAATTGACTAAAAATCAACAGATTTCTATAGAATTTAACCGAATAGATACGTGATTTTGTTTGTTCAACATTGATATATGAGAAGATAATCATATGAATCATGCCTTTACCTCTAAATCTGAAGTCCCTCTATTTGAAGCACATATCAAAGTCAAAGTTATATCGAAACGGAACATTGTTTTCATGCTACTGATCTCCCTTTAATTCTGGCGTAGACATCATTAGTTTGCCAACCATATAACCATTCCTTCATCTTCTCATTAATTATTCTACTATTAATTTCGATAACTAAAGTGTTGAGATAATAAAATAAATTTATTCTTCACTAAAATGCAAAAAATCTCTCGTTCTAACACATAATTTTAACATATTAGATTCACTGTCTGGGAATGACGCTTGTTTATAATGGTTCAACGCCTTGATCTTTTTTGTTTTCGAATATTTTGATTTGTTAAAAAAATATTTCACTTTTACACTATCAATATGTGTGAGAAGAGCGTGCCGTGTACGAGAGTTGCAACAATCTGTTCTTTTTTTCATTTTTTTGCTCTCTCACGCATACTTTTCTTTTCATTTTTATCCAATAAAAAATGAATATAATAAACCAATGAAAATAGAGTTTCTTCTCTCTGTCTCTCTCTCTCTCTCTCTCGTTTTTTTTCGCATGTAAAAGAAATCACACAGTAGGAGAACATTATTTTATTCCATCTATCAAATCAAGTGACATCATCATTGAAAAGCTTCAAAAAAAAAACTAAAGATGAAAAGCAAATTGTATGTACCGGGTGTAGGTAAGTATATTTATATATATATTGTCTTACGTCATGATTGTTGATCATTAAGAGATTATTTTTATATTAGGTCAAGCAGGAGTTAATCAACTTGGTGGTGTTTTTGTTAATGGTCGTCCATTACCTGATCATGTTCGTCAACAAATTGTTGAATTAGCATTACTTGGAATTCGTCCATGTGATATATCAAGAAAATTACTTGTTTCACATGGATGTGTTTCGAAAATTTTAACAAGATTTTATGAAACAGGTTCGATTCGACCAGGATCAATTAATGGTGGAAGTGGACGACATTCAAAAGTAAATTTTATAAATTTTTCTAGTAGTGGTGGAACTAGAAAGGTAACTGAATTCTCTTCAAAAATCTTCAAACAATGGCTGAGCCTTTTCGATAAATATTTTTCTCGCTCTGCCATTGAATTTATTATTATTTTTTTGTTTTAGAAAACCTATAATACTCGAATTGAAATCAATAAATGTCATCAGGTTAATAGATAGTTAACAAGATTTTCAGGAAAGATACATCAAAGATTGGATTTTTTTTTTCTTTAAATAGAATGTTGGTATTTCACCATCATCACATAAATCAATTGATAATAAAGAATTATCACCAACTCGGTAAGACTTTAAATTTAGAATATATTTTAAAAAACAAAAAAAGAAATTTTATTTCTTAAAAATCAAAGGAATTATCGATCATTTCCAACAAGTCCTAATCATCTTCCATCAAATTCATATTCAACATCACGATATTTTTCATTTCATCATCATAATCCATTTCTTTTTCAACATCGACCATCACCATCAGTACCAACAAATCCACCATCGGATGAAATCGATGAATCTGATTATGATGATAATAGTTCAATATTATCAATAGAAACAAAACCAAAACCATCATCGTCACTTATAAAACATTCAATTGAAAATATTTTATCAAATAAAGTAACAATAAAAAATAAACGACCATTGTCATTATCTTCGAATTGTATGTTAAATTATTTCAAATCATTTATTTTCTTTTTTTTTTTTTTGTTTTTATCTTATACTTATTTTTAGCATCACATGATGAACAAACAACTAACAAACGTCAAAAATTTATTGCATGTTAATATGAACATATATCATTGTCATCTTGTTTGTTTGTTCTTTTTTTCTTCTTTCTTGATTTCATTCTTCTCTATAACGTACATTCTCTTTTGTGTTTCGAAAACAGTATAAAGAATAAAATGGGAAACAAATATATACATATATATTTTTTCTTTAGTTCCTATTCAATAAAAAAAAAAAAATGCTGGTTAATTGACATTATTAGCATCGGTTTTTTTTTCTCTCTCGCTCTCTCGAGTCTCACGCAAATGACAAATAACATTGTAGAGGAGGAGTGCTCTCCAATTAAGGTATACCTTAGTGTGAGTGGCACCTGAATGTATATATGTGTCGATGTTGATCGCAATCAGTACTCTGATGACGTGATAGTGAGGCAACTAACTGCTTGAGACAATTAGACGAACTATGGATATTGGAAAAGACCACTTGCTGATCAAGTGTCAACGAAGATAGACATGCACGACACAGTTACATTGCATTTTTTTTTCTCTCGATTTTTGATTATCAGATCGATCAATGAATGATCGGTAATAATTGTAATGAATATAAAAAATAGTGTTTCATTAAACTGTGTTGAGTTCAATTAATGAACATTCGGTATTTGAAAAAATGTTAATATAAATTTTGAATTTTTATTTGTGTTATATTTTAACAGATCCAAGAAAAAAAAACAATTGTGAAAAATTGATTGAATATTTTATTGATAGAAAGCGAAGTCTTCTTTTTTTTTTGCCAATATCTGTAGTGATCATTAAGTATTAAAATATAAAAATGTATGTACTGTTAGTAAAGAAAAGTGTATGATATCTAATATAAGTTACGATAAATTTTGATTCGATTGCTAAAATAAAATGAACCAATCCTATTTCTAGTCGAAATTGTGTTTGGAAAAAGAGGATGTATACTTCACCACTGAAATGAACATAACTAAAACAGAGGCCACCGATATGAAGATAACTAAGTGTCTTTCGATCGTCTGTGTTTCTGAGTTTCGTTTCGGCGATCATTCTTTACGTTCACTTTTTCTGAATATTTATCACATATATATATGTGCAGGTATCATCTCAGAGTATCGCTTATAGCTTCGGTCATCGAATTGAAGATCATTGAAAACAGACATTGCCGATAGTTACATTGTCGAGCAACAGACTGAGCAAATCTTTTTTGTATCGTTTCAAATTAGTGGTGGAATTAGAAAAAAAATTGTAGCGAAGCTCAGCGTTCATTTAAAGCTAAAAAGCAGATATTTTCTTCGTCAATACTATAGGATCGTTTCATTTGTAGAGAAAATTTAAAGATTTCTAAAGGAAGCTCAGCCACTATTTCAACTGTTAGATTTTATCATACATTTACATACGAAAATTCAAATTCTATATTGTTGTCATGTTTCTAACAAGAAACGATTAAGAATCTTTTCTTGCTTTCAGTACCATTGATTGAAAAATTTTTTTTTTTTTGATATAATAAATTTATTAAAAGAATGTTTAACTCGTACAATAAAAAGCTAAGTAGATGAATATTTTAAAAATTTAGGCTACAAATTTTCTTTTTTTTTTTATCGTTCTCACTCGATTCTCACCATTACAAAAGGAAAAATATTCAATATAAAAAAAAATCTCTAAATTAAATATTATTTCTTCTTTTCTTTCATACTAAAAATGAAAAGTAAAACTTCAATAAAGATGACGATAAATATGTGTATACAAGAAAGGAAAAAAAAGGGAGCGTATGTGTAGAATTAGAAAATAAAATAAAAATACAGAATAAAAGACAAAGAAAAAAAAAATAAGAATAATATATGTCTCTTCTTTTTGAACTTTGTGAAGAAAACAAATGGTATCACTGATTAACTTCGTTATTTGAAAGACAATCATAGACATTTAACTAAAATTTCGAAAACAAAAAAAAAAAAAATAAAAATATCAATTTTATCTCTTGTTTAAATTTTAATTAATAATAAATCTTACTGTTTCTTTACACAGTAATAAGACCACGTGGATGAGAAAATGATACTGAAGTAACAGAACTTTTTTCTGGTGCACCCATTGTAAATGTACGTCGAATACCCATAACTTTATCAGAATCAATAAATAATGAATTATTTTTAATAGCTAAATCTTGTTCTAATGTTGATTTAGTACGTAATAAATGTTGTACAGCATTTTCTTCTTGACGTAATTTACCATGAAGATCAGCAATACCTGCATGTAAATCATGAACTTCTTGGATTAATCTAAATATTAAAATAGAATAAAAAAGAAAAAAATTTTGAATTAAAATTTTTTTTTGTGTAAGTAACCTATGCATAGCAGGGTCGCGGCATGCTTCAACATTTGGTCGTCTAATACGTGTTTCAAGACGTGTTTGAGCAACTTGTAAAAATGCTTCTTTATCAGCAATCGTTTTTTTCAAAAATTCAATATTTTGTTCAACATCAAAGATTTCTTGAAGAATCTAAAATAATAAATATATTTCAACAAAAATCGTCTTTTTTTTTTTTTGAAATAATAATTCAATATAAACCTTTTCAAGATGAGATTGAATTTTATTTTTCGCTACTTGTTCTTCTTGTACACGATTTTCAAGTGAAACATTAACATGATTCCATTGTGACCACATATCATTATTACTTGTTGCCATAAGTTGATTACCAGCATTAAGTAATTCATCCGATTGAGACATTTCACTAAGTGCTCGACGGATATTTTCTTCTGTATATCGCATCCATGTTTCAGGTACCGATACACTATTAAAAAAAATATATATATAATCAAGTTCTACAATTCATTCGCTTGTCTCATATTAAATAGTACTTCATAGTTAGAATAATTTGATACTATAAAATATTTCTTTTAATGGAGGATATAGAAAATTATTTTCTTGGACTCAATTATTATATCTAGAGCTTTTTAACTCCCTGACCTGTTTTTTGGATGATTTCATATAATCACTTTTTAAAAAATTGAAAAGTAGGCATACATGTGAATTTAAACCTTCGGGTTCGGTTTAGATCAGGGGAACCATCAGCCCGATCTGATTCATCCATATAATATTGGCATATGTGTGATGATGTAATATTATTTTCCCTAGTATAATTCGAAACATACAATGCCGTCACAAGCTCATAATTTTGTGGAAGTGCAGGTGCATGTGAATCATCCTTTTCCACCTATGCCCTTTTTAATGATTTATTTCTTTGTTTTAATTTACTATTTTGTACAAGAACTTGTTATTAGACTATCTTCATGAAAATAGATTACGTATATAACTGAAATTAGAATGATACATTATCATAAGGTTATAGAACTTACATTAGTGGATTTAGAAAAATAGAAATATCAGTCAGCCTGGTTTACCCGGAAGGCCAGACCGAAAAAAAGTAGTCTGCTGGTAGCTATGGTTTAGAATGCAGTCATTTTCAGTTAGTCAATAAAAGAAAATGGAAGTTAGCTAATAGAATATATTACAGCATTGGCTATGATAAATCTACATACAGTGAAATATCTGATCCAAAAATCGATAGGCTATAGGCATCATAAAAGCGAATCCTCAAACTTGACCGAACTCTATGCTGCTCTCATGGTTACTCAAGAATCACTTGGATAATCATGTAAATACTCAGCACTATCATCATCATCATTTAAATAGTTCTCAAACCATTTGGTCCGAAAGCAAAACCAGAGTTCGGTTTCGGCGCATACCTATTGGAAAAGTAATATAACTTCAACAAATTTTCCCAATTGCTATATACTTCTAGATGAGCACTGAATACAGCTAATCGCTTGTGAATATAAAAACTGATAATCATACAAAAATTTCATTACAGCAAAGATGAAATCAATCAATGAAAGGAATAAAAGATTCTACTAATAATTGTATCATTCGTTTCTATTTTCAAATATTAAACTATATAAGATAGATATACTAATGAGTTGAAACTTACGTGTTATCCACATTTTCAATGCCTTCATAAAAGTTAATACCGCGTGATGTTGTTTTAATATGATGAGCAGCTGAATCAAGTACACGAGCACGAAATTTATCTTGTGCATCAAGTTCTAATTCATGTAATGAAGCACGATTAAGACTTAAATATAACATCATAGATGATATTTAATCGATTATGATGAAGAATACATACGCATTTTGTGTATTAAGACGTTCAAGCATTTGTCGAAGTTTTTGTTGTGATAATTTAATTGTATCAACTTCCTATAGAAATTCTATTTTTTTCTTTTTTATTTTATAATTATGAAAACTTACTCGAATAAGTTCTCGTTCAACATTATCATGTACAAGATCAATACCTAAAATAAATAATTTGTTATTGTTTCGTTTTTTAATAGATTAAATTTTAAAAAACCTTGACGTTTTTCACGTTCATATAAATTTTCTTGTGCTATACGTAATGGTTTTTCTGTTTCCGATAATTGTCGTTCAACTTCACGTCGTTTAAATTCAACATCATTTATTTTACGTTTCATTTTATCTTTTGTTTTTTCTAATTCATTTTTCCAATATTCAATATCATTTATACGTTCACCTAAACGTTTTGATGATTCAGCATTATTTTTAAATGATTGTTCATCTTTTTCACGTGCTAAACGTATGGCATCAGAACGTAAACGTTCAGCTGCCGAACGAATTTTATCCGATGCTAAATAATTTGTCATTTGAGCATTATACCAATCTTTTGGTGTATAACGTGTATAGAGTGCTTGACGAGCTGATGGAAATATTGGTGGTACTTTAACATTATCAATATTATTTAAATAATTTGATGAACTAAATGGTGCAGCTGTTGAAATATTTAATGATTGTGTTGGTTCAACACGTGCTGATCGATAATATGTCGATGGACGCCATGGAAGAGAAAGTGATCGAGTAAGTAAACCCGAATATGGTGGAGCAGATGATGTTCGAGTATCAAATGTACCAATAGATGGTAGATAAGTACTTTGATGTGGTCGACGACCCATATGAGTATATTGTGCCGTTGATG